CTCACCGTGCACATCCCAAGGTTGATTCCCCACTTGCTCCTTGGTAGAAGCTTGTGATTCGGTCCTGCTGGCTCCCTATACTGTACCATGCAGCCCCACACTCTCGCAAACCCCATGTTCGGCTTCCTCCCATAGAATGCCTCATGCGGTGTCACATCTGCTGCAAGGCCTTTGGTAGGCAACCTGTTCTTCACCCAGCATGCCATCGCCAAGGCATCTCCCCAATACTTCAGTTGAAGACCGCTATCAGCTAGCATGGTCCTCACACTATCTAAGAGTGACCTGTTCACCCTTTCTGCAATGCTGTTGTGCTGTGGGGTGTATGGGACCGTCAGCTGCCTTAGTATTCCTTTCGTGCGCAAAAAACTGTTGAACTCCGTATTCACAAACTCCCCACCGTTGTCGGTCCTTAACACCTTCAGCTGCTTCCCACTCTGCCTTTCAGCTTCAGCCATCCAATCCAAGAAACTGGAAAACACCTCTGTCTTGTCCTTGATTTCTGTCACCCACGTGTGCCTAGTCCCTAGGTCAGTGAAAGTGACAAAGTACCGGCTCCCGTGCCTTGAACTTTCCCTCAATGGCCCACACACATCAGCTGCCACTATCTCCATTGCACCGTAGGGCTCTTGAACCTGGTGTATGGGATACGGGGTTTTTGAGATCTTGCCTTCCACACACTTGCCGCACCTCCCCTTACTCCCATCTCCTTCTTTCAGCTCCACACCGGCTGCCATGCCCTTCTTCACAAGCTCCTTAATCCGCTCCATCCCCGCATGCCCTAAATGCCTATGCAGGGTCTCTAGATCCACTTTTGCAGCTGCTGCCACCATTGCAACAGCTTCCACCTGCAGCTCCTCGACGGGCACTCCTTTCAGCTTCGCCTTCAACTCCTCCCTTGCCATCACTCCTTCCTTCGGTGGTGGCTGGTAGGTAGCCTTCTCAGCAGCCAAGACCTTCTCATTCAGTTTCATCTCATACAATCCATCATTCCTCATTCCCTTAGCAATCACATTCCATGCATGGTCAAACACCCACATCTTCCCTTTGTCACTGAAAGTCTTGCACCCGGTGCTGTCCAACTGTGATTGGCTGATCAGGTTAAAAGGCCAATCCATCCACATACAGCACATTTTCCAGCTTCAATTCCCCATACTGTCCTTGCAGCACCAATTCCCCCTCACCCTTCACAGGTAGCTTCCCTTCATTCCCCAAAATCACATACGGCACACTTGACTCCCTCATGCCAGTCAGCCACTCACAATGATTCGTCATGTGCTGAGTGCAACCGCTGTCCATGAACCACGCAGCAGCTCCACCTCCTTTTGCCAGCATGCACACCCCTGATGCGCGCGCCACATTCGCCTTATGTGCGCCACCCAGAATGGCATCTTCCTTGTCATTCTCTGCTGCTGTTGGTGCTGCTGCTGCATTTGCTTTCGGAGGTGCTGATCCCTGCTGCTGCGGTCCCCTATAGCTCCGGCTGTTGGGGTTGGAGTAGCAGTCAATCGCCCTATGCCCAATCTTCTTGCAATGATGACACGCTCCGTTGAACTTCCCTTTCGGTCCCCTTCCATTTCCCGCACCATTCTGCTGCGCTCCACTCCACCCCGCACCGTTCTCCTTGTAGTTTCTGCTCCTCGGGTTCTCCGCGCACTCAAACGCTTTGTGTCCCGTCTTTCCACACTGATAACAAGCTCCCGCGCCCCTTCCAGCGGCTGCCGCGTTCACCAACGCAGGCTTCTCCTCCACAAAGCCCCTTGTAAACTTCTCCCGTCGCTTCTGATGATCTCTTGCTCGCTCCAATGCCTGAAGCATGGCAATAAGCTTCGTCATATTCTCCGGTGGGTGGCAGATCAACGCCGGCCGCTCACCCGCCCAATCATCCGGAAGTCCGTTGACGATGTGCCCTATCATCGCCCGCTCGGTTTCCGGCTCGCCCATCGCAGTTAAGTCGTCGTTGTAGCTCCTCGCCATGTTGACATAGTCAATCATCTTCTGGTTCGGCTCCATCGTCATCAACAACAACTTCTTCCTCACGTCGGCGATGTTCGCGTCCATGTGCCCAAGGTATGTAGACTCCATGTACGCCCATGCCGCCTGTGCATAGTTCTCAAGCTCTGCAAACCCATCAAGACCCACTGCAATCCCGTCAGCAACAGAATGACAAACACAATACACTGAGAAAACACAATACACTGAGAAAACACAATACACTGAGAAAATGGTAAATGCTAGCTCACTCCGTTTTTCGAATTCCAAAAGTTCTTCCGATTTCGCCGCACGCTCGGCTTCGTCGCCTTTCCTGTCGGGTCGGTAGTACTTCCACAAGCCGACCTCCTTCGCTCTCCTTATAAACTTCAATCGCCACGTGCTGTAGTGCTCGCCGTGGAACCGCTGGGCTTCACTCAGGCCCATGGTGGGCTTGGTCACCACCCCTCCTTGCGCTAGCATTTCCAGAAGAGCCTTGACTTGGGGATCTCCACTGCTCACAGAGGAGCCCGAGCTAACCTCCGATTGTACGCCGACCATCTCGAAGGTTTTGCTTGCTCTTAAGAATGCTTAACGCCTCTTAAACCAGCTCTGATACCAGCTGTTAGTCGCAAAACGCCTCATGGGAGGCTGACGCGGCCTTGACGGGGCCTCAACGGGCCCTTCACGCGATCCTGACGCGTCCTGATTTCGAAATCAGCTTCGCGTGGCTTTCACGGGGCATTCACGGGCCCTACACTCAAGTGAAACAGATTCGGCCCTTCGTGGGGCTTTGACGGGAGTCTCGCAGCTGAGATTTCTATCACTGTTGCTTGCCTAAGCCTTCACAAAGGCTTCTCTGTAGGTTTGACGCGAATCTGACGGGAGTCTTACTATGTGTCACAAATTTCGACCAATCAGTGTGCAGCACAATTTGAAGCGAGAGAATTTCCAAAAAGTGTTACTCCAACAAACTGGTACAACAAATATATAGGTTCAAGCAAGGTACACAAGTGAGCTAGGTAACCAAACGTGTTCAACACGTTACGCCTTGCCTCGTTTCATCCCGCGTCGCACACACAACCTTTTCCACCTTCGTCGAACGCGCCTGAAGTCTGCATTTGGTTCCTTGTTGAACACGCCACGGTTGACCCACTCATTTTCCCTCGTCAACCAATTTCTCCCTGGTTCTTCACTTCTCTTTCACCCGTCAATAATCTTCTTCACTCCTTTCGTGTTTCTCTTGCCGTAGCTCCCAAGCAATGTCGAGCTTCCTCTCTGGTTCCCAAGGCACTTTCAACACGCCACTGTCAGTCCGTCATAGTCGTCGGTCCGAATTATGAGCGCCGTCGTTAGTGTGGTTCCGCGAACCACTCCAACAACCTCCCCTGTGGTTCGTGAACCACACCTCCACTCCCCTGCTCCTCTCCAGCTCTCATGGAGTCTAGTTCGGCTTCACACTCCCCTGAAGCTCCTGCAACTTGCGCATCCCCACCTTCTCCTTGCAATACTCAAAGTTAGACCTAGGTACCACCTTGGTCAAGAAATCTTCCACTTGCTCCTGAGTGGGAACGAACTCAAACTTGAAGTGCTGCTTTTCAAGCTGCTCCCGCACCCAGTGATACTTCACGTTCATATGCTTGGTCCTCCCGTGCCAATTGTCGTTTCTAGCCAGGTCAATGGCTGACTTGCTGTCCGATTTCACCACAGTAGGTCCTTCAATGGTGATGTCGAACTCCTTCATCAGCCTCCTCAGCCACACTCCCTCTTGGCACGCAAAGAAGAGTGCCATGTACTCCGCTTCAGCAGTTGACAATGCTATGTCCGCCAATTTCTTCGCTTGCCACATGATAGCAGTGCCCCCAACAAGGAACACATACCCATAGGCACCTTTCCCTGTTTTCTTGTCCGATGCATGTGAGGCATCCGCATATCCCACCAGCTGCAAAGTCTCCTCTCCTCCCTCAAAGAGAAGTCCCTCATCCTCATGCTGCACCAAATAACTAAGTGCTCGCTTCATCTCTCGCCATTTCCTTCCCTGCTGCACGTGCTGCCCCAAATAACTCGCCGCATACGCCATGTCGACCTTTGTGCATGCAACCGGATACATAACCGAACCCACCATTGACTGGTACATCTGTAGTGCCTTCTTTTCTCCTCCTCCCTGCTTCACATCCTCTTCCTGCTCGGTATCATTTGCTGCCATGCCGCTGAGTGGTGTCGTGATCTCCTTGATGAAACCCTGGCCAAACCTCTGCTGCACCCTGTTGCAATACTTCTTCTGGTACAAGAAGAGCTTCTTCTCTTCCACATTCCGCTCCAAGTTCATCCCCAAAAACAGCGTTGCCCTAGGAATCTGCTTCACATGAAAAACCTCAGCAAGATGGTCACACACGCTCTCCACCTCAGTCGGTAAAGCTCCTGCTATGAGGATATCATCCACATAGAGTAACAAGTACACCTTCTTCTCTCCTTCTCCCCTCCAATAGAACGCTCGGTCACACTCAATTTTATGGAACCCTCCTTTCAGCAACCTTTCATCCATCGCCTTATACCATTCTCTTGGACTCTGCTTCAGCCCGTACAACGCCTTCAACAACTTACACTTCCTGTCCGTGCCATCCTCAAACCCGGTTGGCTGATCCAAGTACAACTCTTCTCGCACTACCCCATGCAGAAATGCATTCTTGATGTCCAGCTGCACCATGAAATAACCCCTTGCTGCTACCACCTTTAGGAATGCTCTTGCGGTTGTAAGCTTGCTCACGGGGGCATAGGTCTCGTTGTAGTCAACCCCCTCGACCTGAGTATACCCTTTTGCCACTAACCTTGCCTTAAACCGCTCCAGCTGCCCCATATCCCCTGTCTTGATCTTAAAAATCCACTTCACACCTACTGCTGCCCTTCCTTCCGGCATAGGCACTAACTCCCAAGTGCCTCTCTCTGCTAGAGTGTCTAATCCCTCCTATATTGCAGCCATCCACTGCTCCCTCTGTGGTCCTGCCAAGGCTTCTTCAACAGTCACGGGTTCCTTAGGCAGGCTGTACTTCTCCAAACTCCCCTGTGACACTAGCGCCGTTGCAGTTGCAGCCAAGAGCAGATGGGTCCTCACATCCTTCCAAGGTGTCATAACCAGTGAAACAAACTTAGCTGGTTTCTTCTTGAACCTCAGACCGCGCCCCAACTCCTCAGCCGGTGTCACGTCCTTACTCACTTCCTTTGTCGCTGCGTATATCTCGTCAAGCCCTCGTTCCTTTCCTATCACTATGGCTCCATCCTCCAGCAGCTCATTTATCTCCTTAGCAGCTTCACAAGTAGCGTCACTATCGATCAGCTTCCATGGGCTACTCCCATCCTCCTTTGCTGACCCATCACTGTTCTCCACATCCTCCACACTCTGAGTTTCCTCCTCGGCACACGTCTCTCCAAGCTCTCCTTCATGGCGCCCTTCTTCCTCCACATCTGCTACCGCCTCTACAACCCTTTTCTTCGCTGGCTCTGAAAATATAGGTTCCTTGGTAGGTTTATCCGCACCACCTCCTGTCTCCTCCTCATCACACCCTATCCCCTCGTTCTCCTTCTCCACAAGCAGCTTCTCCACCTTATCAAGCGCAGCTGCTGCTCCTATTGCTATCTCCTGGTTTACCCCCTTCCACTGGAGATAATTGACATCTTCATAGAAGATGGCATCCCTGGTCACTGCTGTCTTCCCCTTCTCCACGTCTTTAATCACCCAGCCTTTGCTCACCGTGCACATCCCAAGGTTGATTCCCCACTTGCTCCTTGGTAGAAGCTTGTGATTCGGTCCTGCTGGCTCCCTATACTGTACCATGCAGCCCCACACTCTCGCAAACCCCATGTTCGGCTTCCTCCCATAGAATGCCTCATGCGGTGTCACATCTGCTGCAAGGCCTTTGGTAGGCAACCTGTTCTTCACCCAGCATGCCATCGCCAAGGCATCTCCCCAATACTTCAGTTGAAGACCGCTATCAGCTAGCATGGTCCTCACACTATCTAAGAGTGACCTGTTCACCCTTTCTGCAATGCTGTTGTGCTGTGGGGTGTATGGGACCGTCAGCTGCCTTAGTATTCCTTTCGTGCGCAAAAAACTGTTGAACTCCGTATTCACAAACTCCCCACCGTTGTCGGTCCTTAACACCTTCAGCTGCTTCCCACTCTGCCTTTCAGCTTCAGCCATCCAATCCAAGAAACTGGAAAACACCTCTGTCTTGTCCTTGATTTCTGTCACCCACGTGTGCCTAGTCCCTAGGTCAGTGAAAGTGACAAAGTACCGGCTCCCGTGCCTTGAACTTTCCCTCAATGGCCCACACACATCAGCTGCCACTATCTCCATTGCACCGTAGGGCTCTTGAACCTGGTGTATGGGATACGGGGTTTTTGAGATCTTGCCTTCCACACACTTGCCGCACCTCCCCTTACTCCCATCTCCTTCTTTCAGCTCCACACCGGCTGCCATGCCCTTCTTCACAAGCTCCTTAATCCGCTCCATCCCCGCATGCCCTAAATGCCTATGCAGGGTCTCTAGATCCACTTTTGCAGCTGCTGCCACCATTGCAACAGCTTCCACCTGCAGCTCCTCGACGGGCACTCCTTTCAGCTTCGCCTTCAACTCCTCCCTTGCCATCACTCCTTCCTTCGGTGGTGGCTGGTAGGTAGCCTTCTCAGCAGCCAAGACCTTCTCATTCAGTTTCATCTCATACAATCCATCATTCCTCATTCCCTTAGCAATCACATTCCATGCATGGTCAAACACCCACATCTTCCCTTTGTCACTGAAAGTCTTGCACCCGGTGCTGTCCAACTGTGATTGGCTGATCAGGTTAAAAGGCCAATCCATCCACATACAGCACATTTTCCAGCTTCAATTCCCCATACTGTCCTTGCAGCACCAATTCCCCCTCACCCTTCACAGGTAGCTTCCCTTCATTCCCCAAAATCACATACGGCACACTTGACTCCCTCATGCCAGTCAGCCACTCACAATGATTCGTCATGTGCTGAGTGCAACCGCTGTCCATGAACCACGCAGCAGCTCCACCTCCTTTTGCCAGCATGCACACCCCTGATGCGCGCGCCACATTCGCCTTATGTGCGCCACCCAGAATGGCATCTTCCTTGTCATTCTCTGCTGCTGTTGGTGCTGCTGCTGCATTTGCTTTCGGAGGTGCTGATCCCTGCTGCTGCGGTCCCCTATAGCTCCGGCTGTTGGGGTTGGAGTAGCAGTCAATCGCCCTATGCCCAATCTTCTTGCAATGATGACACGCTCCGTTGAACTTCCCTTTCGGTCCCCTTCCATTTCCCGCACCATTCTGCTGCGCTCCACTCCACCCCGCACCGTTCTCCTTGTAGTTTCTGCTCCTCGGGTTCTCCGCGCACTCAAACGCTTTGTGTCCCGTCTTTCCACACTGATAACAAGCTCCCGCGCCCCTTCCAGCGGCTGCCGCGTTCACCAACGCAGGCTTCTCCTCCACAAAGCCCCTTGTAAACTTCTCCCGTCGCTTCTGATGATCTCTTGCTCGCTCCAATGCCTGAAGCATGGCAATAAGCTTCGTCATATTCTCCGGTGGGTGGCAGATCAACGCCGGCCGCTCACCCGCCCAATCATCCGGAAGTCCGTTGACGATGTGCCCTATCATCGCCCGCTCGGTTTCCGGCTCGCCCATCGCAGTTAAGTCGTCGTTGTAGCTCCTCGCCATGTTGACATAGTCAATAATCTTCTGGTTCGGCTCCATCGTCATCAACAACAACTTCTTCCTCACGTCGGCGATGTTCGCGTCCATGTGCCCAAGGTATGTAGACTCCATGTACGCCCATGCCGCCTGTGCAGAGTTCTCAAGCTCTGCAAACCCATCAAGACCCACTGCAATCCCGTCAGCAACAGAATGACAAACACAATACACTGAGAAAACACAATACACTGAGAAAACACAATACACTGAGAAAATGGTAAATGCTAGCTCACTCCGTTTTTCGAATTCCAAAAGTTCTTCCGATTTCGCCGCACGCTCGGCTTCGTCGCCTTTCCTGTCGGGTCGGTAGTACTTCCACAAGCCGACCTCCTTCGCTCTCCTTATAAACTTCAATCGCCACGTGCTGTAGTGCTCGCCGTGGAACCGCTGGGCTTCACTCAGGCCCATGGTGGGCTTGGTCACCACCCCTCCTTGCGCTAGCATTTCCAGAAGAGCCTTGACTTGGGGATCTCCACTGCTCACAGAGGAGCCCGAGCTAACCTCCGATTGTACGCCGACCATCTCGAAGGTTTTGCTTGCTCTTAAGAATGCTTAACGCCTCTTAAACCAGCTCTGATACCAGCTGTTAGTCGCAAAACGCCTCATGGGAGGCTGACGCGGCCTTGACGGGGCCTCAACGGGCCCTTCACGCGATCCTGACGCGTCCTGATTTCGAAATCAGCTTCGCGTGGCTTTCACGGGGCATTCACGGGCCCTACACTCAAGTGAAACAGATTCGGCCCTTCGCGGGGCTTTGACGGGAGTCTCGCAGCTGAGATTTCTATCACTGTTGCTTGCCTAAGCCTTCACAAAGGCTTCTCTGTAGGTTTGACGCGAATCTGACGGGAGTCTTACTATGTGTCACAAATTTCGACCAATCAGTGTGCAGCACAATTTGAAGCGAGAGAATTTCCAAAAAGTGTTACTCCAACAAACTGGTACAACAAATATATAGGTTCAAGCAAGGTACACAAGTGAGCTAGGTAACCAAACGTGTTCAACACGTTACGCCTTGCCTCGTTTCATCCCGCGTCGCACACACAACCTTTTCCACCTTCGTCGAACGCGCCTGAAGTCCGCATTTGGTTCCTTGTTGAACACGCCACGGTTGACCCACTCATTTTCCCTCGTCAACCAATTTCTCCCTGGTTCTTCACTTCTCTTTCACCCGTCAATAATCTTCTTCACTCCTTTCGTGTTTCTCTTTGTCAGAATATTATCTCATTGTTCTAGCCTGTAGTGGGGTGCTCTATAGCGAGTACAACCCTTCTAGGGTTTGCTATTTGTATCCTCATTCTTGCTAGTTCAATCCTCTTTCTTCTTCTAACTTTGACATGCTATCAGAGCAGGTCGATCCCCTTGGATCGATCCTGTGGGTGTGTCCCCACCTTGCTTCCGCTGCTACTTTTTCCTCCCGCCGTGCGCCCCGAGGCGCGCGGCGGTTTTCTGCCCGCCGTGCGCCCCGAGGCGCGCGGCGGTTCATTGCCCGCTGTGCGCCCCGTGGCGCGCGGCGGGCTTCTCCTCTACGTCGCGGCCCCGCCCCGGCCCGTCGCCGCCCGTGCGCCCGCTCGACGCGGCCCCGCTCTAAGTCGCGGCCCCGCCCCGGCCCGTCGCCGCCCGTGCGCCTGCCCGGCTCGGCCCCGCCCTTCGATGCGGCCCCGCCCCTCGAAGCGGCCCCGCCCTTGCGTCGCGGCCCCGCCCCTCGAACCGGCCCCGCCCCACGTCGCGGCCCTGCCGCCGACCTGTCGCGGCCCCGCCCTACGATGCGGCCCCGCCCTGCGTCGCGGCCCCGCCCCTCGAAGCGGCCCCGCCCTACGTCGCGGCCCCGCCCCGCTCGTCGCGGCCCCGCCCCTTGTCGCGGCCCCGCCCTCCAATCAGGTCCGTGGTGGGCCCTTTCCTCCACACCCCCCCTCCCCCCATTTCCCGTCGCTGTGGGGTGGCGGGTATGGGGGTGGTCGGTGTGCCTTCCTCCCTTTCTCCTCCTCCTCCTTCTTCTCCCACTGCTGCAGCTGTCGCTGAGGGGGGTGGTTGTGTGGGAGACTGGGTTTAGGGTTTAAGGGGGGGTGCGTGGGAGTAGAGCTAGTGGTGTAGCAGTGGGTGTGTATCAGGGGGGTGGGACTGTGTGCGGGAGGATGAGCGGAGGTTGCCAGTTTGTCGTCAGCAGCACCTGTAGTCCGGGGCGCTGTCCCGGTAGCCCAGTCGTAGCCAGCTGTGCCAGCCGCCCGTGGGTCCGTTGCCCGTCCGCCGCTATTTGAGCCGCGGGGCCTGTTACTCCTGTAGTCCGGGCGCTGTCCGGTAGCCGCTGTGCCAGTCTGCCTCCTGTTGCCCGTGTGTCTGCAGCTTCAGCCGTCGCCTCCTGTCTCCTCTCCCCTCACTCTCCCTCCTCCTCCTCACTTGCCCGTTTTGACTACCACTAGCTTTGCTTATAATTGTGAACTCTAAACTATTTCTTCTTGAACTTGCGCTCAGAATGTGTGGTGACATTGTGATCCACCCTGAGCTTGTTTTGCTTTGCCTGCTCTGCTGATTACACCCCACTTTGGCTATGGGGGTGTGTCAGAATATTATCTCATTGTTCTAGCCTGTAGTGGGGTGCTCTATAGCGAGTACAACCCTTCTAGGGTTTGCTATTTGTATCCTCATTCTTGCTAGTTCAATCCTCTTTCTTCTTCTAACTTTGACACTCTTGCCGTAGCTCCCAAGCAATGTCGAGCTTCCTCTCTGGTTCCCAAGGCACTTTCAACACGCCATTGTCAGTCCGTCGTAGTCGTCGGTCCGAATTATGAGCGCCGTCATTAGTGTGGTTCCGCGAACCACTCCAAAAGCTGGTAGGGTAGGGCAGGTTAAGGGGAGTGAGAGGAGCGAGGGGCAGAGAGGACGTAAGTGAAGGTCGGAGTGGTTGGCCTGCAGCGGAGGCGAAAGTGAAGGCGCAATCGTGAACGCGGCGCCAGGGATATGGCTTGGGTTTTGCGGAGGTTCGGGCCGTACCTTGGGCATATGAGACGCATGAGAGCACCAGGAATGCAGCGAGGACGAGCGCGAGGCCGACGGAGAGAGCGGAGCGAGCCATGGCGATGTAAGGTGTGATTGACAAGTTTTCAATGGGAGAGTGAGAACTTTGCGGTAAAGGTTGAAACGAGATTCGAGACTCTGATGGTTGCAGCATGTGTTCCTACTGGATATATAGCTCGAAAGGAAGAGCTCGACTGTATGGAGGGAAACCGCCGAGATGTGTTTGACTGTTTGCGTCACTCACGCTGCACTCGTGCCGGCGTGAAATCCGCGATACTTTTGTCTGCCCCAAACAAACTCTGGCATGACCGCTGAAGAAAACCAAGGTAGACGGTGTGAATTCTGGGGTTTCGGTACGATGCAATGTGGTTTATTACGATACCGTCAATAAAACTATGTCAATAATTCAACTCGATTGCTGTTTTCCTGAAAAAAAGAACGTGGTAAAGTACAGACGACCAATGATCGAGGGCCATATGTAAATTTGCCACCGCACTGTGCCTACGCTTAAACTCTCTGCAACCCACACAGCAATCTCGAAACAGATTGAATAAACATGTCAAGTGAGAGCAATCGTGGTTCCCAACATTCAACGCGTCCTCTGGAGTCCTATTTGTCAAACATTATATATGTTGTGTTAGTTTAGGCTACAGTGGGTTAGCCCCTTAAGGCCCCGCGCGGCCCCGCGCTAGCCTCTCACGGCCCCTTAAGGCCCTGCGCTAGCCCCTTAAGGCCCCCCGTCGGCCCCGCACTAGCCTCTCACGGCCCCCGACAGCCCCACGCTAGCCCCGAACGACCCCGTGTGGCCCCGCGCTAGCCTTTCACGGCCCCTTCAGGCCCCGCGCTAGCCCCTTAAGGCCCCCCAGTCGGCCCCGCGCTAGCCTCTCACGGCCCCCGAACGGCCCCGCGCTAGCCCCGAACGGCCCCGTGCGGCCCCGCGCTAGCCTCTCAC